TGTGTGTGTGTGTGTGTGTGGTTATTCCATACATTTTTAAAAAGTTTGGAACGCCATACTTTAGTTTTCACCACAGATGGGAAGCAGAACATCTTCATCTAGAGAATATACGTCCGTTTTTTGTTACATATTTATTTATTTATTTATTTATTTATTTATTTGATATATTGGGAGGGGGTTCTCAAAGTAGGCAAGTGTAGGCATTTCTCAAGCAGAAACACTGATTTGCTAGTTATATTTGCTCTGTTTTTCCCTCTTGTTTTTTTCCCCTAACAGTCCCTCATCAGTGGTGACTGTTTTATAAGGTTTAACAAAAAAATATGAAGTTAAGGATACCATTCTTTGTTGCAAGGCCAGTGTAAGTACCATTATTATTTATTTTTCTTACGTTATTAATTGATTTTAACTACTTTCACATTATTTCAACAACCAAAACTGATTTTGTTTAATGTAATGGCGAGGTATCATTAAAATAACAAACATCTAGTGCTCACTTCCTATAAATATCACTTAAAAATTGCTACCAAATTATGTTGCTCTTATTAAGTGAAACCGCAAGTTCTGTGTTAAGAGAGGTGGAAAAAGAAGCTAATGAAGATGCCACCAATATCGGCTCTATAGACATAACATAAATCATTATTATGTCTATGGTCAGACTGGCTTACACAATCTGCCATCCATTATCATTTCTGTCTTCTTATACACTTGGCTACAACAGTAAGCTTGTGAAACTTAATAAATAAATTAAAGTCAGATGCTGGAGAAGTAAGCTTGTGATATTTAAAAAAAAGAAAAAGTAATTTGACAGACATTTTTTCCCCAATCACTTATGAAGAAACACCCACATAACATTCAGCCAATCAGGTGATGCTTGAGTAATGCCCTCTTTTGATTGTTCAATCAAGCGGTCCATGCGAGCCACGAGTAGCAAGTGCGGAGTATGTGCATAATTACTGCATCATACTGTCATTGCAGTGCCCCCCTAGCCATGSTCCTGACTTGGTTCGGGCACAAGATATTTGGATTCCATACGTATTCTAGCATTATTGACTTTTTTACAAGACCARCAGAAGTGACGTGCATGAGAAAATGCAAACGACATGCAACRAGKCTCTAGGACAACATCTCTCTTGGAAGACAGCTCATAGTAGCATATAGTGTCACAATTTTAGAGGTTTTGTTGTTGTTTTTGTGTGCTTATGGTTTTTTTTTACTGTAAGATGTTTTTCAATGTATTTCTGATTGATGAGTAGGGCTGCCACAAGTGATTATTTTTATAATCAATTAATCACTGATTATTTATTCGATTAGTCGACTAATCG